ATCCTACGCAGGTGTGGAAGCTGCCTTCCTGCACATTCGGTTGCCGTCAATGGATGGCAATCGATGTCCGTCGGTGATTGGCACTAAATAGATTGCGGAACAGAGACCGACGTTAAACAAAAGGAAAAAAAAAAGAAAAAAAAAGATCATCTCACGAACACACATATAACGAACTGTCAAGTCAAGTATTAGACAGATTTTCTCTTTGCATGTATAGGCCCTTCCAACTATTGTCAATACATAGTTCGATATAAGATGCTATTATCTAGCATCTAATACGGCGAATATGACTAGAAACGGCTTTGTAGCCAAGTTATTAACGAAAGAGAAAGTCGACGAGGAGAATCGATCAATGTTAGGTACTTACAATGCATTGTTCAGTTTGATTGTTTTTGGAAGGGCTTAAACGGTTATTTAATTTAACTCATATTTGAATCGCGTTCACTCAAATTAGCAAAAACGTGATTTACTTATAGAATAAGTAAATTTTTACTCAAATATGAGTTAATCCCACTCAAATATGAGTAAATGTCACTATATGAATGACATTCACTCATATTTGATAAAAGTGACCTATGCAGGGTGGCCAGCAAACCAGGAAAACCGGGAAATATGCGGGATTTTGAAAAGTAACAGGGAAAACCGGGAAAAATTAATTAATTACACTATATGAATTAATTTTCACACCAGAATTTCAGCATAAACCATTAAAACAGAGTGATTTTTTTTACCAAATTAATGTGTTTCTCTATTTGCTGCATAATTTTCTTCAGATTCCCGCCTTATTATTTTTAGAATTTAATCACTCAGCAATATTTCAAATTTTCCCTTAGCTCAGTCGGTAAAGGCACAGCTACAAAGCAAGACCATGCTGGAGGTGGCTGGGTTCGATTCCCGGTCCGGTCTAGGAATTTTTCGGGTTGGAAAATGTCTCGACTTCCCTGGGCATAGAAGTATGATTGGACTTGCCACACAATTATACCAATGCAAAAATGGTACAGGCATCGAAAGCTCTCAATTAATAACTGTGGAAGTGCATCTAGAACACTAAGTTGAAAGCACGCAAAAAGCTAATATGCCATACGCAATAAGCTTGAAAAGCGAGGAAGAAGAAGAAGAATATTTCAAATTGATTTTTGCGATTCAATTTCAGATTTAAAGTGCATGGGCCTTAAAACGAAATATTGAAGATGTTGGACTTAAGAAACAAATATTTGTAATATCTGAAACTGAACTATTCTTTTCCCGAGTTTTAATTTTATTAAAAACTCTCATGATATGAATTTCAGAATGAACTTAGAATTCTGCTCTGAATTATTATAGAATTCTTTTAAAATTAACCAGAAAACACTCTGCGTAATAATTACCATTGAATTCTTTTTTTGGAATTTCCTTGAAGCCCCTACTAAGAAACTGTTTGGAATCCGTCTTAGAATTCCCTTAAACCTATTCTGAGACTTTGATTTCATTGAAATCCTTTTCAAAATTTTCTTTTAACTCTAGCATAAATTTTTCGAAATTTGGAATTATTCAGAAACCCCTTGGAGTATTTTGAAGAATTTCTTTCTAATTATTAGCAATTTTTTTGCAATAAATTTTGTTGGAGCTCTTTGATGAATCATTCACACTAGGGTTTGAAATTATAGCCAGGACACTCTTAGAACTCTGTTTCTTGTTGAATTCTCATTATTATTCTCTTGGGATTCTACAAAAATTGCCTAAAAATTTGTTTTAGAACTTGCAATTTCTCCACAGAAATCCCTACAAATTTTTCTAACAATTTCTATGGACTTCATGTCACAATAATTCTGGATTTCTGCTCTGAACTTCTCCTTCGAAAACTTTGTGGAATCCTCCACAATAGTTTTTTGAAATCAACACTTTGAATACTTTTAAATTTTACTGAAAATTCCAGGGTTTGTCCGCAAGATTCTATCGATTGGCCTGTAATTTGTTTTAACTCTTAAAATACTTCCAAGTCTCAAAGCCTTGACAATTATGACTGCACCACTATTTAATAAAAATGATATTTTTTTTTCTAATCTGTGATCTTGGAAATTTTTTAAACTCTCACAACTTTAACTATTTTTTCTTCAAATCTTGCATCACAAAGATTGTTATTAATCCCAAATTTTGAAGAAAAGTTCTATTTTAAGACCCACATAAATTTCAAAGCCCCAGAATCTTGCGAATCTATCTTTTAAGTAAATAATCTTCCAGTGAATACACTTCTTCTTTATCCGATATCACTATCAATTTGCTCTATATATCATTTGTACCAAGTTCATTTTTCTGAATAATTTTTTTTTAAATTAAATATCTTATTTTTCAAAATTCACCTATTATATAACCTATTCATCCAGAAAGCATTTGGCCCAGTGACCTTAATCTCTGTCACTCAATAAATTCTAGGGTTTTGAAATCATAAGATGTATCGATCATAAAAAGTGATAGAATTCAATTTATCAAAGTATCTCGAAAGATCAATAAATTGTTTTGAATACATTAAGTGACTCATAGAGTTGAATTTTTCCTATAGCTTTAGAAAACTATACACTTTCTGTAATTTGGCTTTCATTTTTCCCACAAATAACCACTGAGAATTTACAGTTGGCCACGTTTTAAAAAATGCGTACAATTTCGTTTTTTGTTGAATATCAACAACCGGGAAATTTTTAAGATTTGAACCGGGAAAACCGGGAAAAAACCGGGAATTTCAAAATGAAAAGTCACTGGCAACCCTACCTATGCTTTTGCGAGTTTGAGTAAACGGTATGAGTTGGCCTCATTTGCCGTTAACTTTGTTTTTGATGGGAGGATTGACTGTACGCTATTTCTAAACAACCCCAATTTGAGTAGGATCTACTCATATCCTACACTACACTAAATTGAACAAACAAAGTTGGAACTGACAAGATGACAAATGAACAACTTCGTTCGGATTCAGGTCGATGTTTTCCATTCGTCATGTTGTTCGTCTAAACTTTGTTTACCTACACACTAAGAAAAATTTATGTAAATCTAGGTGCTCAGAGATTGACATATACGAGCGTCAATTTTGACATAAATTTGGGCGCAAAATTCAGTTCAATCAAACGTATTTTTCGTCGAGTAACGAACTGTTCAATCTCGGAGCCCTTAATTTTACATGACATGTTTGTTTACGTTTTATCCTTTATGTCAAAGATGGATTCCGTCACGTGTTAAATTAGTTATTTTGAAGTGTGTAATTTGGAGTGTCCTACTTTTGACAAATATGAGTAGATCCTTCTCAAATTTGGGTTGCTTAGAAATAGCGTGTGTACCGAGTCGACCCCTCTTTTCACGCAAAGATTAACATTTTTCCTAAGGGATTTTGCAGTGGAGTGAAAGGATAAAAATGTTCCACGAAATTCGACATTTGCTTATGGCATTTTCCTATAGGAGTGAAGAGCTGCATATGAGTCATCGTCAACGCGAATGGTTCCACCAATACCAAAACAAAGTTATCAAATAAAGTTCGTAGGCCATAATTAGGAACACGTCTCAATATTATGTCCCTAAAGTTCGGTGAATAGTTACAAAGCACTAAAAGCGTGAAATCTTCTAAATTTGTAATAAGAATGAAAACTGTGATATTGATTGATTTGGCTAGCATGTTACAAAAAGGTAAGTCTATTCAATTCATGCAAATATCAGCTTTTTTGATGACCCCCGAAGCGTAGATTTTCGATAGTGCAATAATACAGCAAGATCATGGCGCCTAGAAATCGAAATTAACTTAAGTTTACTAAACTTTGTATTTGAAAAAGAGCAATACATGTTCAAAATTTGTCCCAATAATAGGCAATCAATTGGTATTAGATTAGAGGGATTAGAATTTTGCAGCCGATGTGGTACATATTAGTTTTTCATAATTTATTTTATTAAAGTACAAAGTTATTTGCTTGATAGGCCGAAGTGAGGGGCTAGGCTGACATTACATCCCGTAACCCTATTTCAATGGCACATCGTATACACGCAAGTTAATTCTAGAAATCCTTTAAAACGTCTTATAAGTTTAAACTTAAAAAATCTCTTCACACTCTATTATCAAGTACCTAAGGCCATCGTCATCATCCTTGTCACAACGTCAAGCTGCACTCTGAAACATCCACCATTCTCAGTCCACCACCCTCATACATATTGAAATAGTGCGACTAAAGCGATTCCTATCCTCTACTTCAACTTCCACAAAGGCTCTCGTAAATAATCAGTCAAGAAAGCATGGCAAAGCGAGAAGGTAAACTCCGGTTCCTCACTCTCGGTTCGTCTTGAGAAACACGGTTACCTACTTACCCGTGCTTGTTTTATGCTTCCTGGCACTATTGAAAAAATTTAGATCTTAAACTGTAAATTTTTAAACACGTTTATTTGACAACTTGCGGCTGACTTTCATCGCTTGAAAAAGGGATAATTTTCCACCTTAAAAATACGCTCAAATTTCCCAGCGTGTCATCATTTACCCAACAAAAATAACAAGCCATATCTAAGAACATTTCCTGTAGCAAGGTCCCTGTCCTCGCCGGAACAGCACACCGAATTCCACGGGATATCCCGTCGCTGTTTCTCAATGAAGTGATGAAAAGTTCTTTTCGTCCTGCCTGCTATCATTCTAAGAAAAGAAAGTGAAGCCCTGTGAGGAGCCAGGGGGAATCTGCTTTGCATAAAATTGCGGAAAATATCGACAAAGTTTTCACTTCCTTTTACTCATCTTTATAGCTTATTTTTTTTTTCGCTCATGTTGTCACGCTGTCACGCTGCTTGCTGCGATTTGCAGCAAAGCGAGAGAAGACTTCTCAATGTGTGCGAAACAGGATACTCTGCTATTAGCGTGTTGAATGCAGAAATCCGGCTTATGCTAGTTTCCTTTTCTCATTCTTGCGATGCAAAGCAGTGGAACAGATATCCCGTTTTTTCATTGAATTTTGCTTCAATGCTTCGGTAGATGGAAAGTTAATTTAAGCAAAAGGTTTACTTACCCTGGCTGAAGAAGATGTTATCCAAGATGTTATCCGCGCCAGTTCAGCATTTCACCAAAATAAACTTTTTCCAACTCTTCTCGCACAACTTTTTCCACAGGCCACAGGCTATTTACCGGTTCATTACGACCTTCATCATTCAGGTGGTACCGTTTTATTCACTTCGCTCACTTGATTTTCCACGAAACGCAACCACCGACAATGGGATCCTTTGCTCCGAAAACTCCAGGAACAATATTCCTCCTGTGTTCTTTTTACCAAACAACCCCGGCAAGCTCACAAATTTTCACCTTTTATCGGCAGACCTTTTCCGCCGTCAGTTATTCAGTTACGCACTTTTGTTATTAATATTTGCACACCATTTCCTCCACCGCCACTGTGACGGAAGGTACCGCTCCGTCAGGCCCAGAAGAATCTGTTGGGGGGAAAACATAAAAATAATAATTATTATTACAAGTCAGTTAGTTTCCGACGCCATTCTGTACGGCCTCCTGCGCCCAGCGCCTGCAGGGTTGTTTGTTTTCCCCACCCTACGCTCACTCCCGCACCCATCGTTCAAACAGTAAACACTGACAGTAAACAGGCGATGTCTTATCTCCCAATGGGGACACGCAATCGTCGAGTTCCATATTTCAACTGTCACAGTTGCTTTCCCCAAAAACGGGGGGGAGGGGGGGGGGTTTTGTCGTGAGATTTTTTTTTGGGAATTTTCCATGGAAACCACTTGCAATTGAAATTTAAACTTAAATATAAATATAGGGGAGAACAGCCCATAATGTACCCCTGGGGTAAAATTTCTATTTGTAGAAAAACAGCGATAAGATGCCGGGTAACGGACTGTACTTGTTTCGATCTCAAATAAATTCTGATCATGAAATATATGATTGATATTTACTGATTCTTAAAAAAAAAACAAATTATTTTGTGAAAAACACGACAAAGTTGTTAGTCATCAACTACAAAAGAATAGAACGAATTCAACGGTTTTTCTGAGGCATAACACCTCTGATCACGCCTTCCTTCGGTAGGGAAGTAAAGCCGTTGGTCCCCGGTCCTTGAGTTGATGGGTAGGGTCCAGGTGTGGGAACTACCTCCCTGGAGTCAGTAGCATTGATACTTAGTATAGAAAATAAGATCAACGGCAAAACAATCAAGCAAAAAATCATCGTTTTGGAGCTCTTCAATCTTCGTAGAAAATATTGTAATGAACCGAGTAATGAACCATACTCAATTACTTTCTCCTTGATGTTAACTTTCATACGCAATTGGGTTTTTTAATTTTGAAAAATACATCGGTTTTTATATATAATATGAAACAGCTTCGCTTTCTGAGCACAGCGATATTTTGACGTAGAACTACCAACAATCAATACGAAACTAACGATTTTAAATTGGCTCACTACTTGACTAGCCTATTGGTCCCAAGCAAACGATTAACGTACCCCATTCTAGTCGAAATTCTAGTACTACGCAATGTTTGTTTTGATTCGCTATGAAAGTTTGACAGATAAAATGAGGGGTTATTGGTTTTTCCTATGTTTCGAGGGGTGAATCGATTAGCTTGGGACCGAAGAGAGTACCAGAGCTGAGCCAAAAAGTTGAGCACGTTATTTCGGGACCTTCTAGTCTTAGAGTTACCTCTATGGAACTACGTCTTTGTCGACTATACTGGGGTGCAAATAAAAAAAAGTGTGGCGAAATAGTGTTAGGTTTGAACGCTTGTAACTTTGACATTTATAGATGAAAATAAAATTCTAATACACCATTCGATAGGATATTACATTACAAATCTGCTGGAATAATTTACCATCAAAAAACATTTGGTTTTTTCCAAACCCAGTCGTCATAATCGAGTTCCACTTGGTTGCACATCGTTCTGCGTGAACCTGATAAGATATAAAACAGCGCTGCTGTCGTACCTCTACTCATCAGATTTTCTTTGCTCGACTGTTCAGTTGTTCAGTCCGTATTTTTCGCTCGAGATCTCGGTTCGATTTTGTTTCGTGTTGGGCTGTCGCGTTGCGCCGTGGAAGTGTCGTCACCTTCTCGCGTTCTGGCAAGTTTACTTGAACTTGCAAATACGAATCAAATGGTGCGTTAACGTGCCAATGAGACAGCAGCGGGCCCTTCAACGAAGGTGCTAATCAAGCCCAGCGCGCCGCAGGATGACGCCGGAAAACGAGTACTGCAAGCCAACCAGTGCAGTACTCCCGGAAGAAAATGGCGATGGTGACGTTGCTCCCATTGCAAGAAAAGAGCAAATTCGAACCGGTGAAGGATGTTGCCAAGCTAGGTGCCGAACTGGCAAAACACAAGCTGCTGCCTCGCTTCAAGCAAGCATCGGTACCAAAATCATGTGCTCCAGCCTGAAGGAGTACAAACAAATAGGATGTTTCCTGAAGGAAAACAACATGGACTTCTTCACGCATGATCTGCCATCGAGCAAGCCACTGAAGGCGGTTTTGCGTGCATTACCGTCGTTCGAGGCGGCTGCGGTGAAGTCCGAGCTAGAGCGGTTTGGGCTCCAACCTGAGGCCGTGTTCCAGATGAACCAGCGTTCCATCAACAATACCAGCTTCCGTGACCAGTTGTTCCTGGTGCACTTCACGAAGGGATCCACCAGTCTTGCGGCTCTGAGATCCAAAATCCGGGACCTGTTTCAGGTCATCACCAGTTGGGAGCATTACAAACCCCAACATCGTGATGTAACGCTGTGTATGAAATGCCTTTCATATGGCCATGGCACCAAAAACTGCCACATGAAGACAAACTGCGGCAAGTGTGCTGGAACTCATTCAACTGCGTCCTGTGAGCAAGTTGATGACATAAAGCCAATGTGTGTCAACTGCGGTGGAAACCACCAAGCCTCCAATCGCGGATGTCCCAAGCGAGTGGAGTTCATTAATATCCGTCGGAAGGCTACAATCAACAACCAGGTCGATCGCCTCCGTAATCATCGTTCGCCTCCTGTACTCACGGAAGTCCAGTACCCAGCTCTCCAGCCCCGTCGACATGTTCCGAACCTAGCCTCGCTTCCGCTCAACAACCAACAAGCCAACCTTGCGAGTATCCAAATGGTTCCCAACAGTCGGACAGTTCATCATCGTCTCGCTGCTGCTGCGGCCCAGCCAATTCCAGGTTCATCCACCTCCCCTGGTTTATCATACGCTGGTGCTGTCTCAGGTGAACCTGTCGACGATTCTCCGTTCACCTCGGAGGAACTTGTGACGCTCGTGGCCGAAGTCATCATCATCATCATGCGCACCTGCAAGATTCGATTTGAACAGCTACATGCTGCCCTGTCCCTTGTCACTAAGTATGGACCGTGAAGCCATCAAGATCGTAAATTGGAATGCTTGCTCCTTGAAGAGCAAAAACATCGAGTTTGTTGACTTTCTCAACGAACGGTACATCGACATAGCCGTCATCACCGAGACTCACTTGAAGCCCGAGCTGAACGTATTCCTTCCCGACTTTCGGCTCGTAAGGCTTGACCGCACCAGCTCCGGGGGAGGGGAGTGGCCATCGCTGCGAGACGGAACATCAGCTGCCGGCTTCTACCAAGCTTCCAGCTGAAAATTATCGAAGCCATCGGCATTGAGGTGAGCACATCGCTTGGTCCAATCACCATCCTCGCGGTCTACTGCCCCAAGCAAGCCAACATTAGGGACGGCTCGGCCGCAGACAGAAGAGACATCATCAAGCTAACGCGACGGCGGCAAAATTTCGTCATCGCTGGCGACCTGAACACCAAGCATCAAGCCTGGGGCAATAAAGGGTGAACACGAAATTATTGCGACACCGAAAATGTCATGCCAATTTTCTTATAATATTTAGAATCAAACCAAAATTTTAGGGTAGTTTCATACATATATTTACTTCAAAAATCAAAAGAAAAGTTAATCGATGTAGCCTTGAGTGTAAAATTGAACGCATTTTCGCTTGATGCCCTCGATCAAAGTCTTTACAGTGTCATCCGGTACCAGTTTCTCAGTTTTTTTTTCCATTTTCTTAACATGTCCTTCTCGTCTTTGACTGTCTTCTTGCTCTTCCGAAGTTCCCGCTTCATTATTGCCCAGTACTGCTCCACCGGGCGCAGCTCCGGACAGTTTGGCGGATGTCCTTTGGAACAAAATGGACAGAATAGGCCTCATACCACTCCAGGACACTTTCAAATCTGGCCAAAATAACGGAGCTTCGTCGTGCTGCTGCAAGAACGGCAAAAGGCGCTTCTCGAGGCATTCAGATTTGTAGATCTCGCCATTTACTGTGCCCTTTGTCACGAAAGGCTCACTCCTCAGTCCGCAAGAGCAGATGGCCTGCCAAATGAGATATTTGAAGGCGAACTTCGACATTTTCTTCTTCTTAAATTTGTCGTCCACATCGAACTTGCTCTTGCCGGTGAAAAACTCCAACCCCGGAATTTGCTTAAAATCGGCTTTTATATACGTTTCGTCGTCCATCACACAGCAGCCATATTTTGTCAGCATCTTCTCGTAGAGCTTCCGTGCCCGAGTTTTAGCCGTCGATTGTTGCCGCTCATCGCGGTTTGGGAAGTTCTGTACCTTGTATGTATGTAGTCCAGCTCTCTTCTTTGCATTCTGGACGTAGCTCTGCGACATGCCGATCTTTTTAGCCAAATCACGGCTTGAGACGTTGGGATTTGCTTTAATCATCCGCTTCACCTTTCCCTCCGTCTTTTTTTCTCCGGTCCCGGTTTTCTTCCAGCTCCTTTGCCGTGGTCCAACGTCAACCGCTCCTGGAACCGCTTCAACACTCTGGAGACGGTTGAATGGTGAATGTTCAACATTTTTCCCAACTGCCGGTGCGACAGGTCAGGAAATTCCAGGTGTTTGGAAAGAATTTGTTCTCTCAACTCGCGTTGGTTCACCTCCATTTTCGTTGAATCGAAAAACACGACTTCGAGTTTGACAGCATGTACACAATACACATCAATGAGAAAGTGTGCAAAATTTGGTTGATTTTTACCCAATGGTAAAAAAGTTATGCCCTGTTGAATGTGTCGCAATAATTTCGTGTTCGCCCTTTAGTCGGCGAAATCAGAACGGCACAATATTATACAACGATCTGCAGCAAGCCCACTACAACATTCTGTGTCCGGACACTCCCACTCGGTTGAGTCGATCCGGAGCTCATGCCACCATCGACATCTTCAGCAGCAACATTAGTGATAACATCTCCTCGGCCAATAGGTTTCAAGTTTCCCGGCGAAATTACCATCGTGTCAACTGGCAGCAGTATCAGCGCTGTGTGGACACATCAATCGATTACGACGTCTTACCGGAGTCGTACGAAGAAGTCGATCACTGTCTGCAAGCCATCGAAGAGGCGATATCCCGTGCCAGGGAGCAACACGTACCAGCATCCAGACAGGTGAATCATACTCTGAACCTT